CTTTGTGCTGGTGAGGGAAAACCTGAAACACAACACACAGGATCGTTGCTCGGGTAAACAAGAAATTTCCAGCTTTCTTGGAAATCTAAAGTACATCACCATCTTCATTAAAGGCCACAACCAGACACTACTCTGAGCAACCTGAATCCTTTGTACCCCACTTCTCCAAGATCGATCATAATATTGCTTTACTTTTGCTTTTCCCTAATTTGTATCCCCTAAAACTAGAACATGGTTTATAAATGGATTCTTTAATGGTAAAACAAATAAGATGTATCACAGTTGATTAGGATGTGTTCATCATGCAAATATTTCAGTAACAGTAAATATACAAACACCTACTTTACAGAAGAATGTATTATTAAAAGTGTAGTGACTTTGCTTAGAAGGTCATGTCATTGTCAATGTCTCAGCCGTTGATGCAAGTTGTTGAACAGGAACTGACGGAAGGAGTGCAGGCATGAAAAGGTAAGGGGAAAGCATCATCACAGGAGTGTACTGGGAGGGGAGATTGCTTGCATAAGGATCATCAGTCAATCATACTCCATTTCCAAAAAATGTAACCTAAGCCTAACAAACATGAGCATTAGTCCAGTAGTCTGACTGGTACTTGATGGAAGAGTTACTTTAAAAACATTCATGTTGCTTATAAATAAGATTTTATTCATTCTGTTCTCTGAAGTCTGGTGTGGCTTACATATTCACGTGGATTATGTTCATGTAAACATTCTTCCATCCATGTCTAGATCTGAGCCACAAGTGTTTTATTCTGGTTAGATCTTCCAGTTAGAATACAGTAATGATTTAATCCTCCTAATGGTGTATTGAGAATTTTCTGTTGCTGTTCCTGGGTCAAAGTTCTCAAGCACCTTAATGTATTCTTCCCTTAGGCTTACATGTCAAGTTTCAAATCCATATGAAACAACAGCTACAAACACACAGTATGGGAAAATACAAAAGACCAGGAATAGAATTTGATCTCTGCTCTTGATTGTATCACAAATATCACTCTGAATTCAAGCAATACAAAACTGCAGTCGGATGTCACAAACTTCAGTCTTTAAAACAGCAGAAACTATGATCTTCAATTTGTAGGACCAAATTTCTTTTGATGCATAAGAAATACTGTTGATGCTCCATTAAATATTTTGAAGAAGTCTATACAAGCTTTCCAAATAAGAACATAAAAGCAAATATTTGTAAATGTGTGAAAATAGATTTTAGAAGAAAGATATTGAAATCTATATTTTCCTGCAAAACAAAACAATATAGAAATTTGTACCACTCAGTACTAGCTGTTACTATTATCTGTAGACAACTACTTTTATTCATATGATGGAGTTAAAAACCTATAGTCGTATTCAGGTAATTCCTTTACGATCTAGCTATATCCTGAACAAGAATCATGCACACAGTCATTCTATCAGTGGACCCATTATGTTTCCATAACTATCGTAAATCATTATTGTTCAAGCAAATAAACTATTATAAAAATATCACCATTATTTTCATTCAAATTAACATTTTATATACGTGTGATGCACGTTTGTTCATGTGTGTGTACTGTTATTTATGTATGTATTGTTGCATTAAGGGTTTGTGTATTTTACTTAAATAATGTAAGATCACTAGCGGAACAACCTGCTGACATTCAGCGAGTTCATATGTCAATTGTCCCTTCAGTCATCTTTTTTATTTGCTTTGATGTCTCTTCATCTCTTCTTTGAACAAATCTTGCAGTCACATTTTGTAATCCTCCTTGTCTTTGTTCTGCAATTTCTTGTGACAGTCTTTTTGCTTTCCTTTCTTTCCCTCCCCTCAGTTGTCTTTCCCTTTACTTTAATGTCTCTTCTGCTTTCCTTCTTTTCATTCTGTGAACATCACCACCTGAATCATCCATCCATTATCAGGGCATCATAATGGCCATTGTATAAAAAAGACCTTTTCAATGGCAAGTTGTCCAGTTACAACAGTAGGTGGCATCAGATCATTATTAAAATACATGGCTACACTCACTTCAACTCAAAAAAGCCACTATCTCCATATGATGCCAACATACCCCATTCTGGTCCATCATTGACTTATAGCCATATCTCATGAAACTTATCCAAATTGTCGCATAACAGCTTGTTTGTTGTCTCATAGTATCACACTGGCTTCACTCACTTTCAAGTAATATAGTGAGGGTCCAGAATAAACAGTTCCTATCACCTGCCACTCTTTTTGCAAAAAATGATTTTGTTTCAATTGTTAATTCAGATAAATTTGATTCTAAATTCACTGCCATCTGGCCTCTTATGGCACCATGCCTTGTTGAATAAGCTGAATCACCTAACATCCTTTATGAAAATTGTTAGCACATGCGCAGAGAAACACTTTACATGAAAACATGTACAACTGAAAATTGTTATATCATACGGTGTCAAGTGTGACAGTACGAAAGGTAACTTCTTTAATTTCTAATTTTTTCTGTTCCTCCTCCTGTGTTATAATACACAAATAAAGACAATTTTTACAGTTATTAAACATGCGTCTCTTAGCTTAATTCAGTGTATGAACCTTTATAATTACGGCATAAGCAAGAAATAAATTTCACTTCACATGGACTAATTAACCCACACACAAGTGTCAAGTGGGTCTTGGTAGGTGGGCTGAACCATGGAACTAATAGAAATGGGCAGAATGCGTCTCTTAGCTTAATTCAGTGTATGAACCTTTATAAATTTCACTTCACATGGACTAACTAACCCACACACAAGTGTCAGGTGGGTCTTGGTAGGTGGGCTGGACCATGGAACTAATAGAAATGGGCAGAAATGCAGTTATGCCCCTGTACGGTGATCTGTTCTATTCTGTAACATGTGTAAAAAATGCCTACAATGAAGACAATCACCAACATAAATTATACAATAAATGGTGTCTTCAATTTACATACTTGTTGTAAGTGTGGTAACTGTTCTAACAACAGATGGCACCACACCACTAGCAGTAGCCGCCGTCTCGATACCACTGCGTGGGGGCAAAGGAAACAGATGACTGGTTCCTGACACAGTTACGGTTCCACCAGCAAGTGTGGGGTGTGGTGCCGGGGCACTTGCTGCAGTAGAAAATGGAGATGTTGCACCTGCCAAATTCGGAAACGCTGCCGTCACCCCAGAACGTGGCACAGTGTCAGTGCCAAGTACAGGACTCCCATGATGCAACACGGTGTCGGCGCTAAGTGCAGGACTACCATGGACCTGAAACTGAGCAACCAAACTATATGCATAATCGAGAAGTGAATGAAGTAATTCAAAGTTCATAAGTATATACCCTCCTCTGTCTTCTTTGCAAAATATTGAGTGTAGACACTCCACTATTTTTGTGTAATATACAATATTACTTTACACATTCTTCATAAGCTCCATAAAGATGTCTCTATTAAGTTCACTGTTGTAATTTGATTAGTAGCATGAATGCCTACAGTGCAGGCAAACCAGGCTTGATTCAAGAAAGCTTTTTTAATCACCAGGTCTGTGCAAGCCATAAAATGTCATTTATTTTAAAACTTTTGCTTCCAAAGAACTGTCATCATCAAATACAGATGATGCGTGGCATTTTGAAGTTCAAGGTTCACCTTCCACTGCATTAGAATGTATGTTTTCATCTACATTCTGTCAAGACTGACATACAACTGATTATATTTTTATTGTTCCCTGTGCTTGGGGATACCCATAACAAAGTGGAATTTTCCAATGTTGCACACATAAACTTTGTGGGGGAATCTGTTGCTATGAAAAAATAAATTAAACATTTAAAACCTTTGCATAAGAATTATAAAGCTAGTGGTCAAATGACATCGAGACACTGAAATATGTTACATAGTACTAATTTAAATATTTCAGTCATAACACGTTGGGAAATTAACTGCACTCCCATCATTTTCGAATGTGAATATGGAGAAAAAGAACACGTTCTGTGCACAAATTGGACTAAATTACTATTCCAGGGAAGGTTGTGTCGAAAAAATGCACCATTCTGGATGCTATAACACCGAATTGCTAGGATAGCATTTCATTTTAGACTACAATCATCATCGTTGTCTGTGGCTCTACAACCACCTCTTTTGTCACTTAATCTATTTAGAAAGTTGGTAGGGCTCCTTGGACTAGTGATCAACTCGTCACAAGGCCTCTACCTGTACACAAGAGAGCACAACACAGAAAAACACGGATAAACATCCATGCCTTCAGCGGGAATCAAAACCCACGGTCCAGTGGCCAAGCACACAAGGCCCACGCCTCAGGCCGCTTTGCCACCGTGACTGGCCCTTAGACTACAACAGCTACACTAAATCAGGCGGTTGAAATCACTTCACTGTCACTCTGTCAACTTCAGCACTTCTTTAAGAGGGAATGTTGTGATGCATATATTATACCTCACATATTCTGCTGAAATTTCAGTGGGTACACCACAATATATAACATAATACAACAAAGCATTACCGTTTCCTGTGAAACCATGACTGGGCGTGGAGGTACATGAGTCACTGAATGTCCCTCCTGAGGTGCAACAACTGCTTGTCGAGCTGCGGACTGAGATGAGAATGGCGGTGGATTGTGAGATGCAGGCAGCATAGGAGAACAGCGAATTGGGATTCGATGAAGGTAACCATATCCAATACCACATCCCAAGCTGCAACACAAATGACATGTCTTATGTAGATGTTCTCAAACTGCAGCCTGGCAATGTGTTCCGAGCAGCCTCTACATTTTTGTAATAATGCATAATCCTGTATAAAAAGTTACTGCCCAAATTAACTATTGAACTTTAAGGCATAATTAATAAACATAACCTTAAAGAAAATTATCGAGCACTATGCAAACCTGTTTGCAACAATAAGTTCATAACATTTTTAATAAAGTGTCACGCAGTTTCAACTAATTTCTGTAATTTATAAGCAGGTGACATATGAGTTGATAACAGAGGTTAAGTATGCCTCCAAATCTGAAACAAATTAACATCAAGGTCAACAATACTGGAAATGAAACAGAAAATATGAAAGGACTACTTATTTTTATAAAGAACTTTCATGGCGGTAAACAAATGTCAAAAATAGTTTTCTGTGTACACATTGTATGAAGTGAGGACGTGTTCAATATGTACACTGTCAACCTTAATAATATGATACAAACACACAGGGAAATTGTTTACAAAAATGTTATATCAATCTTTTCTGTGACAGCAGATATTTAAATTTTCAGCTCTTCAGTGTTAGGTGATGATTTTTATAGACAAGTTTTCAAAAAGACATAAAAAATTCCCACAAGGATCAAGATAAAGAGAATCAAGTGGTAATGAATCAAGAGTCATTTGAAATTACTCACTTATGAAGTGACAGTTTAAAAATGTCCAAAGCATTGGCATGCTCCATCTTGTCCATTTGAATCACAACTTTTTATTTGCAAAAATATTGTGAACTGTTCTTCTCAAAGTTCTGCACAACTAGAATCTGAAAATCAGCATGCACTAAACTGTGGGCCACTCACAAGGAAACAAATATTCCTACATAATAAATCAAATAAGATAACAATATCATGGCTGCCTCTCATATTACAAAGAGATTTAATTTACACCTACTGTTAGAAGTACTCACCTGCCCTCTCCACCCCAAGAAGAGTTTGGAGTTATTGAAACCTCCCGGCAGGAGTCCTCAGTTGTATTGTACACATACAGCTTAAGTGGACGGCCCTCATGCGCTTCAATCAATGTGAACAGATCTTCACTCTCATGAAGTACAGAGTCTGCACCAATCACGTAGTCTGAAAATGCTCTCAATCCAGCCAGTTCTGCTGGTGAAGATGGGTGTATCTCCTTCAAATCAATTAAAAAAAGAAATCCCAGTAGGTCACGATATATTCAGAACTGATGTAAATACATGATATGGACAAATACCATACACATAAGACCCTATACAAATTCTAATGGCCTTGTGCTTAAACAAACCTGTCCCAATGTTCTTGTCTACACTCAATATCACAAAATTCTGTACAACTTTGTATGCAAAAAGTGTAGCCCCTTCAGATTTATCACGCGCATTTTCGGAGTGTTCTGTGAATTATCTTTGAAGAAACGCTTATTTCCTGATAACAGTGCACTGCACAGCAATAGCTACTGTGTAATTTTTCCCCAGGTTCAGGCTGCCATAACTCCAAATTATATACTCATATCTTATATTCAACAATAATTTATTTTATGGAATAAAGAGTATATAAATGTTCTTTCTTAATTACCAGTATGTGCCACACATTCTCATTGGCACCTTCAAAAGAACAGAAGCGGATGCTCACACCCAAAAGTCCTTGGCCACCCCAAGTTGTGCTGGGTATAATCGTCACCTCTCGCACCGACTGCGTCTTGCTGCTGTAGATGGTCATGCGTACTTCCTTATCAATGTTAGCCTTCAAGAGCTCCTTCAAGGTGTCATTATCTTGATCCTACCGAGAATGAGAATAACATACAACTTGAGTGCTTCTTTCTAGAGTGCAGTCTTAATTTTACTTTCTTTGTTAAAACTAATATCAGCATTTCAGGTATTTCTTTATATGATTAACATCAGGAGGACCATGAATAAGAACCACTTGCTGATTTACAGCAATTTCCACCTTACCATCAACAACTCAAAAATCAGTTTTTTCATCCCACAATAAAATCGTGTCGCGTAAGCAATGTTTGGTTAGGTCACATAATATTATTTCAGGTTATAGTTATTCATGTTTTTCCACATAAATTAATTTCCAATATTTGCTTCCTTTTCAAACCTTTGCCAAGAAAAGATGCTGCCACTAGCTCAGGTTCACTACTGCCATAATTACATAATTTCAGAGTCACACAAAGGTAATATAAAAAATAGAGAAACAAACTGAGAACATACTGTGATCAGTCCCCAACAGATGTCAGCAAAGGTCTGCTTCACACTGACACTCTACAGGACATAGGAAATGTAAAACAAACAGGTGTGTTCATACTGCATGCAGCACCATGATGCTGAATATACTGATCTGCGATTTGTTTGTATTAGTCAAACAGTTAAAAATACGAATATGGGGTACTCTTTGGTGGCATGAAAATCCACAAGATGGTTCACAAGTTATTTGAAAGAACACACATGTGGTCACGCTACAGTCTTTCCTGATGATGTAAGAAAAGTGGGCCATCAACCAAGAATTTGCACAGACATCTATGTCGAGTCCAAGAAAAAGTCTCTTCGCCTCTTACAAGGCACAGATTTCTCCAAACTGCCCATTTGTGTGACACAATATCACTGGCACATGATTTAAAACTTGCAAATGTATTTTCAAAAAGTAACGAACATCATGGCTTCTCCTCGAAATATTCATAATGATAAAGCTGACTCCAATTCTGTTTTATGATGGACAAAGCCTCATTCAGTTTTGAATTATACTTTGGCTATTTAATGTTGCTCATTCAATAGCATTAAATGGCACAGCAAATGAATGTGAGTGATAAATTGTAAAACATATAGGAGGAGGTAATGGCTGATGTGTCCCATTGAATTTCAAACCCCCTGTTTTCTTGGACCCTCGTGATGGCACATTTCAAAGCAAAGTTTAAAAAGAATGGTGATGAAGCTTCTCCTTGTCTCAGGCCATTCGGATTAAGAAATGCACGAGACTGGTGTTTACCTACATGGACCTTACTATAGGCTTAATTTAAACATTTTAATTCGACTTAGAACTTGATTCATGTTTGTAACAAATTTAATGAGAATGTTCTTTTATACTTCACTCATAACAGAAACGTATGCTTTCCTGAAGTCTTTAAACGGCTGGTGTACTGTCCCATTGTACTCCCATTTATTCTACAGCATCTGATGACTGCAGACTATATGATCAATATTTGATGATTACACTGAAATTCACAATGATAATCTCAACAATTTTGTAAGATTTGAGGTTTTCACAGTGGTGAGTATGAAGATTTCTGTCTTCTGGGATGTTGTGCTGATGACGGAGGCAGGATGACCTCCGAAACATTGGTAAACATCGACCAGACTACACAGCGCAACAACCCAGATGACAGAAATCCTCAATAATTTTGTCTACATATGGAGTTAACCTATAAAGAAGAATGTCGTATAGCATTTTATATTCAGTTTGTAACAGTGACAATCCTTGATACCTATAAAGAAGAATGTTGTATAGCATTTTATACTCAGTTTGTAACAGTGACAATCCTTGATATTTACTACATCCAGTTCTATTGTTTTTATTAGCTGGCAAAATAATATATTCCTTCCACTATGACAGAAATTCTCCCTTATTCCAAACATGATTAATAAGGCTGATGATTGATCTCATGGATCAATTAATAAAATAATGCAGTCTGGCCACACACAAAATGAAACTGGATGAACAGCATCTTCATCTGAGACACACATCTTTGTAGGTTACCAAATTTTGCAAGAAAGAATTCTGTTGTAATAAAATTATCCTGCCATTCATTTACCACAAAAAACAGAAGAAGACGTTAATGATCAGAAAGTATGATTTAGAGAAACAACCGAAACTGTCCTATTCATCAAGTTATGTGACAAGTTGGCATAATGACAGAGATTATACAATCAGTAAAGTAGCAGAATGGATATCCAGAAACATTGATGAGGAAACTTCTAACTGTGAAGCACAACTCCTACCTGAGAGTGACTGAACTTTTAATATCATGCAGTTGTGTTACTTAACACTGGTGAACAATTTAAACACAGCAGAGCCATGCCTAATACTTAAACAGATCTCTGTCCCAGTAGTCACAATCTGTACTATTAATAAAAAATTAATAAGAGCTAGGAAACCAATCGACATAACGTTGCCTGAAAGGGCACAAAAGTGTTATGTAAGGATTAAAGTGAGCTTGTAGCAGTCTGGTCATTGGTAAAAAGCATACTAAACAATACACAATTGACGTTACAAGGCACCTCGGGAGCAAAACATCACAGTTAATTACACTAATTTCGTTTTGGATTTTACCTGTTACTATTCGCACCTCATTCTCCACATTGTTGCCCTCTTCAAATCAATGCCCCTCCCAGTAGCATGTTCACTTTCTGTATCTACCTCCATTCGGAATGTTACCATTTACACAGTTGATTCCAAATAATAACACAACTGCCTCACTGAAGTACTACAGGTGGCACTTCAGCTGAGTAGGTTTCATATGGAAATGCATAAATTCGTGAGCATAATTTTTACAAACGAATATTTCAATGATTTGTCTGTAGCCAGTGGATACAAAATGGCATGGCCCTGTATTCGACTTGATTATAATGCTAAACTGGGGACAGAGTACAGACAGTGTGTACTATGACAAGGTACTATGCAATGACTTTTAACTTACCAATCGTGTATTTCCAATTGCAACAACAAAATCAAAGAAAGCCTCTAGACCTGCCTTCTGACCCGGTGATCCATCCTGAACCTGCAGAGATTACACTTATTATAAATAATGTTAATTAATGCGATTATAAACAAGTCCCATAATTTAACCAAAACAATGTTTTCAACTTACGCGCAAGACGTGATAACCTTCCGTGCCACCTCCGGGAATTTCAATACTGTGTGCTCCTCCCATTATTTAGAACATTAATAAGGTGATAACATACAGACAACATTAACACCTTACTAGAGTAAAACGTTAAGACATTTCAGCACTCCATTAAATACGTGGCAAGATTACAGCATACCCTATGAATAAAATGGTGAACTAGGAGCACGGTTACCAATCCCGTTATATATATATATATATATATATATGATCCGTGTTGTTCTTTTCGCTTCCTGCTTTGTGAAGGGTTTTGAAAGAGGGTCGATGCAATTGAGTGTGTTCACTATGTTCGCGTAGTTTTACCCGTCCCTGTTAACAGCAGTGGTTTTTCCCCCCGTATCCATTAATTTAGTTTACAGTTGGTTGCCATCCTCTCAGTGTCTAGAAGGGTTGTTTTCCCCCTTTTCTGCCTTTATGTACTATCGTTTACCTGCGAACGTTTAAGTAATCAAGCTTGTGAAGTGACAGACATTAACCCAGAGAATCATCAACTCTGTAAAATAAATCCAAATTATGTTTTAAATAAAGAACCCACTGTGTAATCACTAACTGCAATACAATATTTTTAACTTTTATATTCATTAAATACATTAATTATCTTTCATCATACAAGTATCATCTTGTTTTATTTTGATTCTATAGACCTCTGTTAAAATATCTTGGCTCTGCTTCTGTCAAACTGAATTTAAAAGTTTATTTTATTGTTACCATTTACTAGAAAACATTTTTGTTCCCTGCACCTAAAAGCATATTTGCCTTTATATTATAGTGCTCAATTGCAATGCTTACAAAAACATCTTAAGGATAATTTTGCCCTAAAGATTATCTTTCTAATTTTTGTAGAATCTATTAATGATGCTGCTTCTCCAACAAAAAAATCAGCTTCATTCTTAAGAAAAGAGTGGCTGCAGTCTCTTTGCACCAAGGGACAAAGTTATCCAAGCAACACGATGGATTTTGGTAACCATAATAAAGACTCAAAATGAAGCCCAAATAACACAACCATATTTACATGGCAACTGCACACCTAAGAGACATATTTTTGACCATGCCTATCCCAAGCCAGATGAATCCACTCCACCTCTTTCATCCCACTACTGTGTATGTACTTCATGCACAAGTACAGGACATAATTTAAATAATCAGGGAAATTAAAATTTATTCAGTGAGAGTGCTTCAGAGTTTACTCTTCAAAATGAACTGCAGTAATGATGTCAGTTGTGCATTACTTATCCAGAAGTCAAAGAGACAGACTCTGGAATTCTGTACTGCAGTATTGTGCACAAATTAAATCAGTCTCTAAACAAACAAAACCAAGTTTTAATCAGGCTACAGACATGTAAATTTAAAATCTACTAGAAACATGAAAAAATCAACTTGACCAATATGTTTCATACAAACATATGTATTTAAAACGTCAGCATTAAATGTGGTATCATGTAACAACATAAGAAATGTTTTAATGTTCTTTTCCTTATAAAATAATAAAATACTCAGTTTAATCTGTTCTTATTACCAAAAATGTATGAACCAGTGATCTCCATTAAATAACATGTAGCTAGTGAGTGAGCATATTGATAGCTTGATTGATCAATTAACTTTTTGGTTACTTAACATCACTTTTCCAGCTGCAAAGGTTACAATAAATTTGAATGGATATGAAAGGAGTCATCATGACCAAATGCTATTACTATTCCACCATTTGTCTGAAATGACTGAAGACAACCACATAAAAATGTCAGGATAGCTAGTTTTCAGGCCCATATTTAAACATGGCAACTCATACATATGAAGCAAGAGAGAGAATCATTTGGCCATAACATTTCTAGAGTCCTCACTGTCACATTTTACATCAGTTTAAGATCATAATAATTTCTGATACCATAGATATGTATACTTCATTGTGGATATGAACACCTAATATTTTGTATCATGAGGCTGTGGAGAAAGCTTGCTTTTACATTTCATTGTCTCCATGTTATGTAAACTTAAACTTTTCTCCTCTGCTCTACAACAAATGCAGTCCATGTGTTCGTCTGAATCTTTGTTACTATTCAAGCCCAACTGCCTTCCGCCACTCGTCTTAACCTGAGCCGGAAGCTGCAGACTGCCGTACAGCAGGTCGATGAGTCGCTCCACAATTCCAATTATTCCAAGTACTGAGAGACCTAGCAGGAAACCAAGGGAGCCACCAAGATCTGATAAAAACAGAGACCAATCATATGCCAAGTGTTCTTCTGCTACTTGAACCATACGGGAATTATAGAATAAATATAGTTGGCTGAAACGATGATTTGGCTCCGTTGTTACCATAGGCTGACGTTTCACTATGTAAGGTACAAACTGTAGTGAATGACATGGACGGATGCAGTTACAGCATGGTGACCCACATGTTAGGCTGTGAACATAACAAAACAAGTCTACATTATAATAATTATCTGACTGAAATCTGACCTTTCTTAATCTGAGGCTGCTCAAATGCTGTCACTGACAGTACTCTGGCAGTTGGACACCTCGTGGAAAATGACGGAGAATAAGTGACAGAAGGAGGCCGAAGCACAGCTTCTCTGTACCAGTTTGCCTGCCACATACCACAAATGCCCTGGAACTGGTCAACCCAGCACCTAGCCACACAACCTGTGAATAGCATGACTCATTATTACTTTCACAAGAAATCTACTTGTATTCGAATCCCAAGGTCCTGAACAGTTTGGTCACATATTTAATATAGGCACTTACTTGAAGGTGAAAAAATATTGTATAGAACACACTCCTTGTATTTATATGGTCCAAATTACCTATGTATGTTCACTGCACTGTTACAGTGTACATTTTAAATTTTCTTTATCCAGCAGTCCTTCATATTTTCTAGTCATAATTTATTGACAGTTGTGCTTAATTCTGTCCCATTTGTAATGGGAATGTTTTCCTTTATAGAAGTTTTAGAAAGCACAATATGAAAGTAAGGAAGTAAGTTTAGACTTGAAGCTTTCACAGCAACTGAACTCAAAATCATCTCTGGCAACAAGCCATACCAGTCATAGACAAAAGTGTGATATTTCAAAGACCATCTCTGCCTCCATCATCAGCGAAATGATGGAGGCAGAGATGGACTCCGAAACATCAGGCGTTTGTCCACGACTGACACGGCTTGTTGACCAAGAACATTTCATTAAGTTTGTATTGATTTTCACTTAATAGTCTTGGAACCAGAGAAGATTAATCATATTGCATTTTAGTGTTTATTGTATTATGCAAACTGAAGTCCGAGGTGAACGAATGTTCTTACCAGTTTACTAGCCTATCCATGGAAGAGGGGAAAAAACCTGCTTTCATGACACTTGTAAATGATATCTTACTTGTTGATGTAATATTTCATAAGGTTCTTCATTGTTTCATATTCATTACACAATGGAACATCAACTTCTGGTATCCATGGTCCACTGCATCCAATCTTGTTCACTAGTTGCCTCATTTTACACATGTGCTGACACTGGAATGGAATAATTATATTTCATACTAAAAATTAGACACCTGTGTCTCGTCTTATGTGTGGTGTCTATCAAAGGGTTGTAAGCATGATTTTGTTTACAACAGACCTTTTCCCCAAGTTCTTTAATCTTTTGGCTTTTAACAAAAAGAAATTTGGGAATTTCCCTCATGGTTGCCAACCTGCAGAAACTGGACTCTTATATTTCACATACCATTTTTCAATTGTAACAAATTCAGTTTAAACAATAGAACATGCACAAAATTTCCTGAACATTTATGAATATGTGACATTTGAGAGACTGACCCTTGCACATATAAAGGTGTTGTGGTCAGCAAATGACCTAACTCCTTGACTGCAAGATGATAATGATCAGTTATTTGTACATTGAACCTTTTCTGAGAAAACTGATACATTTTGATTTCAGTGTCATATAAAGCAGGTGTTGGCCTATCACTAACTAAAGTTAGACTTTGCCAGCAACATTTAGTATAACTCTCCAATACCAAATTTTACTGAAATCCTTTCACTGGCTTAAGAGGTGAAAGATAGGTGCATGCACTCACTCTATGCAAAGAAGGCATATCTCTCATCTGGAACAATTGACCCTTATGCATCATAAGAGTTGGGGATTTAAACTTAAAATGCAGTGAGGCTGTTGGCTGGACTTCAACCTTGGGATTTACAGAATTTAACCTTTCAGTGGTGTGATACAGCAGTATATGGCCACACAGACCTCATGTAATGCACAGCCAATAAAAGTTAAGGTGCTAATGACCTGGGGTGTCAGAAATTACTTGCCTCTTCATAACTGTGGTCCAGACTGGCATTACAGTGATCATCCGCCTTGTTCACAAGGTGGTACTCCTGAACACCAATCCTCACGTGCAGTTCTTCTCCCACTGCCAGAAGCAGATTCTCATCCTCTCCAGTATATTCATGTGTGGTCTCTTTTAAAAGAATATTTTTATGTTGTTTTGCACTAGTCACTATGTTTCAGTATTGAGATTAAATAAAAGTATGGCATGGAACATCTCACCAAGGTTGAGAGTGAGTTAGGTTGATTGATTGGGAACAGACAGCTTTCCATATCTGACGCTTGCTGAATACCGAGTATGTTCTTAATGAAAACCAAATTTCATGATTAAATGCAACCCCTGCTCAAGCAATAATGATTATGGAATGAAAGTGATGAGCTGGAGATTCATCATAATATGTGAGCAAAGCGCTTTCTGCAACACCAATATCACAATGCAGTCACTGTGTAAGACATTTAAAACTAATGGGTGTTGTGAAAGTCTGACAGATGAACTGATTTTTATATACCATAAGATGTATAGGCGTATTAATTTCTCTTGGTATTGTTCCTTGTTATTTTAAATTACTAAAACTACACTGAAAATTCTCAGGAAAACTTCTGGATCTCAGAAGAAAGTGGACAGTTTAGACGCCACAAAACAAGGAACTGTGATTTATATGAGCCAGTGAGAATTGTCAGGATATGAAACCTAGGCATCAGTGATGGGCTGGGCATGTAGCTTGGACAGGGAGACAAGATATAAATACATAATTTGGGCAGATAAACCACCATTCTGAAGGCCAGGAAGAAGATATATTAAGATGAAATCTAGAAATGGGATAGCTTTGTAGAAACTGGTGTAAACCTTCAGGGAGTTGAATACTTGATGACAGTATGGATGAATGAAAATGCATAGAAGTGAAGCAAATGGGCTTCATTTAAAAATATCAGTATTATAGATACTTTGTAGGCTGTTTTATAGTATCAGTACTTAATAATGGAAAGTATTACAGATGTGTTAATAAGTAAGATTTGAGGTTTTCACAGCAGTGAGTATGAAGAATTCTGTCTTCTGGGTTGTTGCGCTGTGTAGTCTGGTCGATGTTAACCAACGTTTGAGAGGTCATACTGCCTCCGTCATCAGGGCGATGAATATTCAGAAATCTTCATGTGTTAATAACTTTATTATTGCTTCTCTTACCTGTCCAAGGATCAGTGGCGGGATGTACGAAAATATGCCAGCCTTCCTCTGGGTCATTCTCAGAGCGATTGTATAATACCTCCTTTTGATACAGCATCACAGAATAGCCACTTCCTTTACCTGATGACGTTGTTTGGATGAGTGGCAAAATTGTGTGGCACTGGCCCCATATCAAATAATATGCACTCTTAATCTGTACATCTGAAAGACAAACACATGGCTTACAGAATGTGCTTTCATATTACACAAAAAAATCCCATAGGGCAGGGAAGTCCTTGGAAAGTTAACATACTCAGCCAGCCAAGAAACGTCTAGCTTCTGAATTTACAGTGCAATGTATTTATTACTGTGTATATACACATATGGACCTGGCACTGGACTGAATGCTGAGGCAATTGGAACTGTCTTTTTAGATCAATATGAACAATACAATACAATGTATATAAACATAGTCCACACATTTACAAATGTTTTATATACATTTTAACATCTAACTGTATTAAACATGTAAATACCATAGTTCCTTGACTTTAAGATTCTATGAATTGTAAGACACACCTTGATTCAGTCTGGTATAGATGCTACATTGATTCTTAGATGCTATCAAATATACACGGTATGCAAGGTTTTAAGATTTTGGAAGTGGTATACTATTTTTTGCTGACAGAGACAAGTTCCCCTAATCTTATTCTCTCAGGTTGCTGTTTTGAAGGAATGCAACCTGCACTTCACTTCACTGTTCATTAAAGATTCACTTATGATAATACTCACGGTGTTGAAATGCACTTAGGGCAGAAAGAAAGTAACCTTCTTCCACTCTGTATGTGGATTCATTCCAGAATTCCTTCAGTGTTATTTCATCATACGGGAAGTCATCCCAGTCACTTGTCGTACGGACACTCTGTAAGTTATATTTCTGCAACATGTTCAGGTGTTGATATTTGAAGGTTTCTGATGACAGCATAACACAGCGTGTTCAACTGTTTTCTTTGTTTTACTTTATGCATTGTCTAGATGTTATTAAAAAAACACAACGTTTGAGAAGACAGTTATACTTCCACCTTCAGGCGAAAGGATGACAAAGCTCCTCTGTAACCTGAACCCATCTGTGAGAGCTACATTTCCAAGTCACCAACTAAAATTGATAATTTGGAAAGTACAATGTTCAGATAAGTTATTACTTATGATAAACATTACCACTAGTGTTCCCCAAATTAGAGAACTCTGCTGCATTAGTGAGCACATCTTATATATAATATAATATGTGGTACAAGACTTTCAACCGACCTGTAATAAGTACTACCAACACCAGTTATTAATCACAGCTGGTTGTTAACCCCTTGGAATAAAATCTTATTTTGACTACTCAAAATATGTATATAAAATTAATTAAACTATTTCCAAATACACACCTCAAAGCGATCACAAAACTTCTACTGCTCAATAAGTAAACTATTTTGAAATTTTTCTGGTGAAATTTTGCAGCTGATGCCATTTGAACAGGTCAAGAATCCAAACCTGAAAAATTCCCTTGCCTTTCTCTGAAGGGAATGTGTCAAAGCAATAGTCAAATCTGGAGACCACACTGGTAGAATACAGTAATGTACCTGGAGAACATCAGGTTTGTAGGATGGATAACGGCAAATGGTAATCGCTGGGTATGTCATGCTCTGATTCACCACAACACGTAAATGAGAAGATATTGGTGGTGAAAAGAGTTTGGAGAAACACTCACATAGCTGTAATAAAAAGTGTATATATATTTAAAATTGTCTGGACAAGGCATGAAACATTGTTGGGAGTGGTAAGAAATTTTCACATAATTTAGTCACATTTACCTGCAGGGAACAGAAAATTTGGAAGACATTCGCATAGATGGGAGAGTAATTTTAAAATTAATCTAAAAAGTGGGATAAGGGTGTGGTCTGAATTAACTTTGATCAGGATGGATACCAATGGTGGGCTCTTATGAACACAGTAATGAACCTTCTGGTTGTATAAGACGTGGGGAACGTCTTACCCACCTGAATGACTATTAGCTTCTCAAGGACTTTGCTTCATGTACTTTGTAATTAAAATATAGTCAGGAATGAATACTGGGCCTTGGATCTTTATAGAACTTTGTACATGTCATTGATTTGTGGATAGTACCATTAAAATATAATACTTATGATTCTCTGGTCAACACATTTAGTGCTTTGTTGACTCCTATCGTGGAACCGAGATCCTTTGGAAAATTAGTTTGGACACACTTCTAAAACTTTAAAACAATTGTGGAGAGGTGTGCTACAATTGAGAACATAAATATTTTCCAAATGACTTCTGTGCAACTTTGTGCACCTCACTTACCTTCATGCTCATGCACACGAAAAACATATCTGTTGATGCGCGGCCAATCACACCAAAAATTTTAAATGGCATAACTACAAGTTATTTGCCTTTAAAATTTCTTTAAATATTCACCACATCCAAAAACGTTTGAATCGAAAACTTCAAATCTCAGGAATATCTCTACGTCTGTGCACAGGGTAAAATAAAGTTAGAATATAATTAGTTATCATACCAGGTCTACAATTTATGAGGCTGCGGTCGTGCTCGCATTGCGTTGTCGGCCGGCGCTCTGTTGATGTGGGCGGGAGTCGTGCGCGTTCTTCCGGTGGGTGACAATGCAAAAGCACTTTTAATGTAATAACATGTATCAGTGACGAGAAATATTCGTAGTTCGCTATTACTAGCGGCACTGAAACTGATTCGCCGGTCACCCACCGGAAGAACGCGCACAACTCCCGCCGGCCGACCACGCATTGCAAGTACGACCGCAGCCTCATAAATTGTAGACCCGGTACATCTGTCTGAGTGGAAGCAAAATTTATTTCACCCAACAACTTTTGCGTAGACCGGAAATTCGATTTGTAGCAAAATAATTTTCGTTCAATATACTTTGTTTTATCAATGTGCTGTAACGGAACTTAACTGCTTCGTCCCACCTGTATGATGACGACAACCGTGCATGCCAGGAGGACGGAAAAGCGGACCAACTTCCTTACACGACCTCCAAACTTTTGCCAAAGGCTCGTAAGGAAGGAACAGTTGACAGCCATAGCGAACCTCAGCATGCTGGCTGATAGACTGATGGGCGGTCGCACGATGTCCACGTCAACTTTCGCACCGCGCAGGAATATTTATCGCCGGCATATAGGTCGCCAGCTGCCGCGGCTGTTCGCACTCCGAGCGTCTCCCACAGCAAAGGAAATCTCACGTTGCATTCCCCACTGTCAAGTCCCAGACCTGAGGCCTGAATGCTAGACAAACACTACCTGAAGATATGTAATATTCACTGAAATGTCAATTCTGTACGACCCGGTATAAAGCAGGGGAATATGCCTTTTTCCTCGAACAGCACTTTCAGTCTACAATTACGGACAACACATGCTCAAGGCGACAGCTGTCACGTTAGAGACAGACCTCAAGTAGCAGTGCTATGATATTCTGTGTATTACATCCCTCTTCCTAATTAGACTGTATGCTTTTGAAACTTGCTGGTATGCAACAGCAGACTGGATCTCCTCATCAAACATACCATCAAGGGAAATTGCGCTTAACAACGCCTTGGGCAGAGTTTAAAGATATGCCAGTGACAGATTAATAAATTACTTGCTGAAATGGACATTCCGAGGAGATTGACAGATATATCCAACACAAAGTTAGGGACATACAAACAAAGGATAAGCAAGGTATTATATATACTTATTTACTTAGTGTTCTGTCTGACGACAGGTCCATATGAACAGGATCCTTCCATCCTTTTCTCTTCTCGGACTGGGACCTGTTCATATACGTTCTTGGCAGATGATCCAGAAGTGGCTTGCCATTGCCTTCTTCTGTGTGTGAATGGAGTAATTGTTGGGATGCCAATGAGGAAAACTCCGTGTTGCCTAGGCCACGGCCTTGCCCAACACAAGTTAAAAATTCGGGCCCCGCCGGGGGAATATCAGTCAGATAGACAACTTTAAATAGGTCATGAAGTGTGTTGATCACGATAGCTAAAATTTTTTTTAATTCTGACGACAGGTCCATATGAACAGGATCCTTCCATCCTTTTCTCGGATTGGGACCTGTTCATATACGTTCTTGGCAGATGATCCAGAAGTGGTTTGCCATTGCCTTCTTCTGTGTGTGAATGGAGTAATTGTTGGGATGCCACGGAGAAATCGGGGAAGCCCCCGGAGGAAAACTCCGTGATGCCTAGACCACGGCCTTGCCCAACACAAATTATATATACTATAGAAAATAAATAAACAATGTTGACATGGTTACATCCACAATGTAACAAATGGAAGTTACCAAAAATAGCAATTAACTGGTTTCTTACAGACAAGAAGAAAAGGAATGTGAGGTGTTTGGGCACCAGATGGTCATGTCAATCCTTATGAATCACACACATATATATATGGTCATTACCAAATACTGAATGTTACCACAGTGTCAAAGGATTTATTAGGGTCTTTATATTACGTCAAGCATGTATGAGTAAGTAACAGGTGGTACTTGCACAGGTGTCATGATATGTGCACCATAAACATGTCTCCCTGGAACAGGTGCTGATTTCCCATACCACAAAGGGTCGTTAATCTGTTACCTTACTCCAAGAAGGGGCACTTCACCATATTCCTATTTCAACACAACACTGTGTTAACATACAGTTTAATCACTTACAACCAAAAATATCATAAAACTTCCCCAGTGAAGTAATTATTTTGAAAATTCATTCTTTGTGACGTCTCATACCCGACTGACCTAGAAATTCATTTACTGTTGATAATTTTATGCTGCAAAATAATCATATGGCAGTGTAACAATTTATCTGAACCTGATATGCTGTTAAATTCATCAAACTGAAAGACACTGTAAATAAGCGTTTATCGACTGTTACATAGAGCGTATGTGAAGCAAGCTAGCTACTATCACAGTGACACACTATTAAAGTGTTACCCC